ATACATGGCCCCAGCCAAGTTGAGAATTCGATTGAGCCTCTGCAAAAAATTTTGGCGGCTCCTGTGCCGTTGATAAAATACACCAACGGCGGGCAGCCTCCAAAAGGGGCCCGCGGCCGACATATGGCATGTACTGGTGGTTTAAGCCCCCATCCCTAGCCGCACCTTCACCCCATCCTTCTCCACCCTCACTCTATTCTCAACACAACCTTGTGTGTGGAGATGCCTCCTCAGAGGCCTTAAGCGTTGAAACCCCAAAACACAATTGATCATGAAGTACAAAGTGAAGGTGATTCAAACAGCTAGGGACGACCAAGAAAGAACTTCAAGATGGAAAACGCCCAGTCAGCTTAGGAAACAGTTAGGGTGCCATGATTTGGAAAAGAAAAGAGAGAACATCCTGGATAGTATTCCATTAGCATGGAGAAGCATACTAAGGCAAGGCATCAAATGGAAAGAAGAGGACTGGGTGATGGATAATAGCCAGAAAATGCCCTTGATAGCGCTCAGATTCGTCAAGCACACCGATACTCGACAACATGTGGTGGATTTTGAAGTGTTTCAACTGTTAAACACAGGAAGGACCATGTAGAGACCAAACAAGAGAGTCTAACAAAGCTGGAATTTTGCTTGGACAGACTAAGGCAGGTTAGTTTCAGATTCTCATGGAGTCGAGCCAGTCCCGTCAGGTGCTCAGAAACAGACATTTTGCCAGTTGAGATGTTGTGTTACGATCCTGGCCAATTCCGAAGTGCAAATACACAAGGAAATACAATGCCATCCAATTGCGAAAAGAAATGAATGAACTTGAGAGGAGACGGAGACAAAGGAAGAAGAAGAAGATGTACACCAGCAAAGGACCAATGACAAATCCCCCTTCTCAATGCCAACCAATCTCCTCCTCCTTATCTCCTCCTCTTATTCAACAACAACAATAATAATAATAATAACAATGAATGGCTGAACCAGAACCAATGTCCGAATCCCTCTCCTACTGCTAGTGCAACAAGATATCCACCATAGCCATGGCCTCCACCTTCCTCCACTTCGACCAGGCAGAGGTTATGGCGGACATCAGGGACCAACCCCTGATGTTCAGAAGACAAGGCAAAAGCAGCTATGTCCGCTGCTCCTCAGGACACCATGCCTGACTCTGCCCTGAAGCCTTCTTGTAGCAGCGCACCCTAACTAGGGCCTTCCAGCAGCAGCGCCAACCAAGAAGATGAAGATGCCGACCTCCATAGCCAGGTAAGTACCTCGCCACTCTCCTCCTTCGCCCCCTTCCTCCTCCTCCTCAAGCTGGGGCGCCCAACGTAGCTTGGTGGAGCTCTCAGCTCTCCTCCTCACCTCGCCCAGGCGCTCCTCCAGACTAGCGCCCGTTCAAGCAGCATGACGCCCAAACATGCACACCGCAAATGAGGCTGAGCGTCTAGCTCGCCTCCAAGATATACCGAGGCACTTGCCTCTTGGGCGGTGACTTCCTGGCCGCTCGACCTCCCCAAGCAACCGGTTCCCTCCTCCTTTTGGAGGGAAACATCATTGCAAGTCTGATATGGTCCGCACAGGCCCTAGACTCAGGCTACTTGGACTGGTACCCGCCAACCCAGGCTACTGGTTGCTCGGCCTCTAAAGATCCTAACTTTTTGTCTTCTTCTGCTAGGTCTACCGCTACTTGAGTGCTACCAGACTAGCCTACCCGCTACTTGAGTGGCCCTAAGCTACCCCCTCGGCCACTTGAGTGTTTTGAACTGTTTTCCCTGCTGCAACCCTCAAAGTCACTGCCACAGGTAAGTACCGGCTCTGCGGGCCTCGAAAAACACACAAGTGCCCTGGCGGGCCACACACACACTCAGACAGGCACTCAGAAACCAGCAAGCACGCTCACGCACAGACTTAGAAATCTCAGCAAAAGTGGGAAATCTCAGCAGACGCACAAACCAGCGGGAAAACTCAGAAATCAGCACAGTTCTCACTCTGTGATTTTGCAGGTCATTACATGTTGCCTTTTTCAAGGGGGGAGGGGGGGGATAGTGTAATGGGAAAGGGCTCGAACACTGGACCTGTTTAGCAGTAGCTCAATTTCAGCGCTGAGCCAAGGCATTTTCTAGGCCGCGGGTCTTTCCTGCCAATCCCTGGTACCCTGCTATTCACAGATTTGCCCCTCGGCCATTTCTCCGCCAGAGTTCCCTTCGCGCTTTTCAAACTCCTTTGGGGCAGTTCAGCTTGAGCCCATTCGGACTGAAGCCTCACTCAGTCGCCGTATTCATGCCAAAAGTCAGCAGCACTATTCACTCATCATTCAGTCAAGCGCTTCGTTCTATTCTTGGTTCAAGAATCCCATTCTGCTGCTGGAATCTTCAGGTGTCGAGTCCAAGTCCATCTTTCTTTCTTTTTTTTTCTTTTCTTTTTCGCTCTTTCTTTTTTTTCCTCCTCTTTTCTTTCTTTTTTTGAAAGGGCGACCGCCTTGAGATATCATTATTGAACTGACCGGCCCTACCGTAGGTAATTCAGAAGTATGTTATTCTGTTAATGTGACTGCATCTGGATTCGAACTTGGGTCTGTATTTCAACAGTTCATGGGCGTACCAACTGAGCGAAGGCCCATTGGTGTCCATCTTTCTTTCTTTGTCCTTCCGCTCTTACCTCACATTCTCAGATCCTGAGTACTGCTGAGTCAAATAAAAAGTGATAAAAAAACTTTAAAAAAGAGAGTAATGTATGCGCTCAAGCCCCTCTCCCCCTCCCCCCCCTCCCCTCCATGATCTCTCTGCACCAGTCTTGCTACAATAACATTACCCTAATGCTTTTCCGCAAATATCCGGTGATTTCATCGTCCTAAGCAGGGTTGTCACGCGGGGATCCCCGGGGCCCAAGCCGGGGTAGGGGTCTCACCCCCGGACCCCCGCCGCGGGGCTACCCG